ATATAGCGGGTACTTTAGTGTGATGCTTAGGCTCAATTATTGATTCTTGTAGAAGTGCCTTAAATTGTATGTTCTTAACTTGGCTTAAGTACCCTGACTAGAGTATTTTGATGATCCAATCTGAAGTGAGTCATGTGCCATGTGGGTGTGAGGTTTGTTGTATTCTGTGCATCGCATGTGATGCCTAGAACTTGCCATGTGTGTCTGCAAAGCGAAATAGTAGTTTTGTTCAGTCTTGGAAATGATATTTCTTTATTGAGCCAAATATGTATATTTTACCCACCTAATTATTATGTATCGTATTTAACCTCTTTGAGCCATAATCTTGTTTCTTTGGCAATCACATTACAAGCCTTACCCCTTTGTTTGAATTAGCTATCTATTTGAACCCTTTAACCTCGCATAAACACGTGAATAGTTATGAACTTTGTAAAAGTTAAAGTGTGGGGTGGTTAGTTTGGCTTTTGAGTGGAACTAATGAAATAAGGGGAAAGGTGTAGTATTTTGAAAAAGTAAGAGTCACTTGAATTGAAAAAAAAAGATATATATAGTCGTTGATAAGTGGTGACTCTGATGTAAGTGTACTTAAATAATGGGGAGTTAATGTATAGTGATTTGAAGATGGAGTATGGTTTGACATAAGTGTGAGGTTCTGACTGCTAAAGTGTATGTATTAAAATGCTTAGGGAGGTTGAGTCACTATTTTATACAAATGTATCCTACCCATTCCGCAGCCTACATTACAACCAGTTAAAAGCCCTACCTGATCCTTGACTGAATAAACTCGATTAGTAGAGTAGTACACTACGGGCAAGACTATGAAGCATCTTTTGTAGCACAAGAATATCGTTTCTGAGAGTTAGTGAATTCTGTCTATTTTGAAGTTCCTCATTGTTCGTGAATTTGATTAATTGTGGAACGAGTCTCTTTTGTTGTGAGCAGGCACTTGATTTATGAAGGAAAGTTAATTCTTGACCTCTGCGTTAGAGTAAGTGAGTAAGTTGAAAATAATGCGTGGTGCTTGTGAGTCAACTCTTGAGGTGAAGATGCTACACTACTATGCTATCTATGTGAAATATTCTTGGTGTGAGGAGTTAGGAAAGTCTCTTAGTGAAGTTATGCCTCTGTAGAGTGTGGTTTGATTGCTTGAGGACGAGCAATAGTTTAATTGTGGGGTATTGATAGTAGGCTATAATTATGTAGTTTAGCCACTATTTGCACTCTAAATTGACTGCACTTTATTGATGTTTGAGAATTAAATGATAATAAATTGCTCTAATTGAGAACTTTATGCTTTACAGGAGCAATTCCGGGCTATGATGACGTTAAAGAGCGTTTTAGAGCTAATATGGAGCATTGAAGGCCAATTAAAAGCTAATGGAATAAATTGGGAACCCATTGGAGGATCGAAGGAGGTTAGCGCGCTTAAAAAGAAGAACGAAGAAGACTGTAGGAAATTGGCCAGGTGTGCGGTCGCGCGCGTGCTTCCAAAAAAAAATATTCCAAGGCTAAATTTGTAATTCCAGAGGCGACCAACCTTGATCTATATGAAGCCCAGCTCGCCCAAAAAGAGGGTATCTCTATTTTTAGAAGAACTTGGGAGGCAAGAACAGGCAAGGAGCGAGACGGAAGATTCGGAAACGAGTTTTATCTTTCTTTCTCCCTTGTTTATCATTGATGATGAATTCTTATGTTATGATTGTGAAAACAATTATGACTAGCTAAATTCTTTGTTCTAGGGTTTGATGGAACCTCTTAGAGGATGAATCTTTGTTGTGTTTGATATAAATTTTTCATTTAATTTTCTCTCTAGTTGTTCAACTACGTGATTATTGTGGTTGATTGAAGGGCCCTCCTATTTAATGTGTATTACTTGGAAAAGGGTACATATTTAGTTAGTTGTTGAATAACATCACTCCTAACGTATATGAGGGATCAATACGGAGGGTTTAAAGGTGGGTTTATGAATAACGAAACCTTGGTGCGAGTGTATTGAGCGGTAAAATAGTACTAGCTAGCGTAATTCGGAAGAATACGTTTAGTAAATTATTGTATTTACTCGGAAGAGAAGTACGACACCTAAAGTGCTCATAATCGGTAGAGAGTATTTAGGCAAATTTGTAGCAGACACAGCAGGGAGGATTCCGATAAGAGGGGAAGTCGTATCTCTAGATCTTCCTAATCTTGTCTACACCAGTTGCTTTGTTAGTAAATGAATTATAGTTTTAATTATCTTGTTATTAGTTAGTAAACACTCAAGTCATTATTCAATCTTGTTGGAAGTTGATTATTTGGATTCTTGCTGAATTAAAAGTTGTAATTAGTATGTTAATTCCTTGTGGGATTCGACTCCAAAATTGTAAACCGGATTATATTTGCAACGACCGTTTTGTCCTTCTTATAAGGCATAGTTGGGCGTATCATAGTGTCCGAGTAAATTTAACCACATCACGAGAGACATAGTTTGAATGGTCACACCACCAAAGTACGGAGTAACTTTGCAAAACCTCAATTTTCAGAATTCTGCTAAGCAAGTTAAGTTCAACAACTTTCTACTGTTTCCCAAGTTGTCATTATTAGTGCTCTTAATACACCTATTTAATTCTATACACTAGCATTACCATTATATGCGCACCTATCCAAGTTAGGCTTGTGAATCTGTCGAACTCAATGGCTAGAAATGACTAATAAAAGCTAAATACCAGAGTGCTTGTTGTTAGTATTTGAAATAAGCATCTGCTAATAGAAGATGCGATTGGAATCTTGCTACTTTCATGGTTTGCTGTAACTGAAGATTACAGCTGCAACATAAGAGTTACAAGCTTAATTTAGAAAAATCTAAGTACATCAGAAGTTCTCAACAGAAAAGTAATGGGTGAAATTCAAAAATAGCCAGATTTACAACTGGTAATTGAAAAATAGTCACAGTTTCAAAAGTAATCGAAATTTAGTCAATTTTCATGTAAAGATAAAATCTGAACAAAACTACTGTTAAAAATCCGGGAATATTCCAGCATAATATGCAGGAGCTCGAATTCTTTACATATGAGCTTCCAACATAATATGCTGGAATTTTATTATGTGCGGAATTCCATCATAATATGCATATGTTGCTCTGACTCTCCAAAAGTGATCTCGTACCCGTGTCGGATCCTCCAAAAATGTACTAATTTTGGAGGATCCAACACGCACCCAACAACATTTTTGAAGAGTCCGAGTAACATAGTAATATGCTATGAAGTTTATATGCAGGAGCTCCATAATCCCGCATATTATGCTGGAACTTTCCGTGTCCTGGAGTTCCAACATAATATGTTGGATGTTTAGACGCATGAGCTCCATAATCCCGCATATTATGCTGGAACTTTCCGTGTCCTGGAGTTCCAACATAATATGTTGGATGTTTAGACGCATGAGCTCCATAATCCCGCATATTATGCTGGAACTTTCCGTGTCCTGGAGTTCCAACATAATATGTTGGATGTTTAGACGCATGAGCTCCATAATCCCGCATATTATGCTGGAACTTTTCGTGTTTCAGCAAAATAGTGGCTATTTTTCTATGACTCCGTAAACGCTGGTTATTTTTCGATTACCGGTCCGAAAAATGGCTAGCCCGTACTATTTTGACGAAAGTAATGTGGCTGTTTAGTCAGTTTCACATTCCTCTTGCATTTAAATTTTTCTTTTAAAATGTATAGAAGAGCAAAAAATAGTAGGAATAATATTTCAAGACTACCTACCAGCAATTGCTTCCGCCGGTTTGTGACACTTGCAAATCTTACTTCACATGCTAGTAATGTGAGGACAAGGTCTATAAGTTTCCAAAATAAATAACTAAATAGCTTAGTCCAAAAATTTTCCAGAGTTCTGAACAACACTGAAACAGGCCCACTTTACATCATTTGAGAAAACAGAATTGTGAATTCAAAAGGGAGGTTTGGCATCACTGTAGTGCCAATCAAAGTGTAATCTTGAATGTTGAAAAGTATGTATAACGGTGAGGACAGGTTTTTGAAAAATTCACTTCATTGATTTATTCATACCACCTCTCTTTTTCTACGATAGTATCTATCGGTACTTTCACACTAAGGAGGAATAACTCTATTTCTTTCCATTCATTCTCCGTGGTCCTTTTCCCCCTAATTTTCATTCTACCTACCAATGAATTCTACATAATAATTCGTAAATATTACTAGGAAAATTGCATTGTACATCTAGTATAGTCCTAAGAAGACATGATCCCAGGCTCATACTTGACATGTACTCTCTTCTCCAGGTCCATCACGAGGAAAAGCATCCGATCCATCGAAAAGAGGGTCAAAAAAATTCCCTTGAGACTTTTCCTCCGTGGAAGAGGGGCGTACCATGAGAGAAATAAGGACGTCAACCTCTTTCAAATATACGATATTAATTTCTTGAAATGTATAAATATTTGAAGGAGCAACTTTCATCCCATCGAGCATTTAGTCAAAGCATTTGAATTTCAAGCTCAGATAGCGCATTTCTGATTTATGCTACTGAGAAATATATTTATTCCAATATTCATGTGTTGGAAATATAATCAAGCAGTGTCAAATTGATGGATGTGCAAAATTTAGCTGTAGCACTCCCTTTGTGTTTGAGTAGCTCTCTGCATCTCCTCAGTGCATCACTAGGATCTTGTGTGGATTTATGATAAAATTGTTAACATTTTTACTTTTTCTTTATTCTGATTTATCTAAAAGATGGATGTTTTTCTGAATGATCAAAGAAACTTGCAGCTACAATTAAAGAAATGAGTGGACAAAAAGTGAGTATTTAAAATCTGATTGATTTTCTTGTTTCTCGTAATTTATGCCACGGACTCACGGTACAAAATGCTGATTTGACATATGTGACCATTCTTATATCAAAGATTGGTTAATATGTCGTTTCAAAAAAGCATCAAACGGTTCAAAACTACATGGGAAGAAGCCTGATTTGAGATTCTCTGAATTCTAAAGTGACAAAAAAAGACATTAATAGAAGAGTCACATGCAGAGCTATATATGTTACTTTTAAGAAGGAAATAGAACAAATTTGGGACATATAAGATACTTGTTTTTAGGATAATTTTGCTGTCTCTTAGCAGGTTTACTCACCAAAAAGAAAAAAAGAAGAAATTAAACAGAAATCCCAGTAACACTTGACAATCAGTTTTGTGCAGATAAGGACCTAAAAGGACTCCTTTAACTCAAGCTTGTCTTCTCCCGTCATTTCTGAAATATATTCCTTAATCCTTAGGGCTGAATCTTCAAGTTGAGGGTTGCTTTCCAGTGTAATAGACTTCAGTGAAGTAATATCCCCGAAACTGTCTGGGATCTCCGTAAGCTCAGTACAATATCGTAATTGTAATTCCTCGAGCACAGGAAACGATGCCTCTCCAACCTGCCATTCAGAAAAAGACACCCATGCCAACTTTAGCAATCTGAGACTTTGAAAGGTGACTTGTTCCGCGTTCCATTCTTTCCCTTGGATGGTTAAGCTGTGTAGACATAGTTGTTGAAGGTTGGGTAATCTCGCAATTCTTGATAGTGAATCGGATGTCAGATCAAACCCTCTCAGCTCCAAAATTTTCAAGTTCGAAGGGAAGTGAAAATCCCACTGATGTGCATTGTGCCAATTGAAGCCAAAATATGCAGAAACTTCTTCAAGTTCATTAAGGACATCCAATCTTGGAAAACAAATCTGCTCTTTTATTGCATCTGATCTGAAATTCCTTGGTATGCTAATGCTGAATTTAAGGCTTCGAAGATTGGGAAACCTTTTGAATATCTCCTTTCTGTCTTCCAAACAGAAAATGGTGGGATTATGTAATATTCTCAAATTCTCTAACTTCAACTCCTCTTCTAACACTGTTGGTTTGTCGATGGTCGGTTCAAAGAGAAAAAAACTATCCATGCTCACATGTCGTAGCTTTGGAAGACTCCAAATACTTGGTGATATTACCATTGTTGATTGACCATTATCCACCACCAGAGTTTCCAGATTCAAGAGGTTTGCAAATGATGGAGGGAAAGCTCTTGCCTCTGTTCGAATGTTTAAGCACCTCAAATGAACAAGCATGCCTATTTCATTCAGCAAAGAATCTGTCAAAGTTATGCGCAGCAGCTCCAACCTTTTAAGAAGCCTCAAATGTCTTAGGTGACAGTTTTCGGAAAGTTTGTTGGGCTTCCCATATTCATCCATGTCTACCTTCAAAGAGAGGAGATGTTTAACATAAGGATTCTTCTTTTCTGGATTGAACAGGACAACACTTTCATCCGGATGATCATAATGAATGGTCATTCCCCGTGGCATCAGATCTGAAGAAGAGGATGGATCACTTGAACTTACAAAGCCAAACAACTTTTCCTTTTCAGCTTTTCTCGAACAAAAATCATGCACAAGATCATGAATTTTGATACTCGGGTACCTGATACCTCTCTCATTGAAAAGTATTACCAAGCTACTAGAAATTAACTCATCCACATAAGACTCCTGTACTTCTTCCACACACTTCATGTCATTTTGTTCCACAAACCCTTCGGCACTCCATAAGTCTTTCAGTTGAGAGATTTGAATATCTTCGTCCTTTGGGTAGCTTGCAAGGTAGAGCAAGCATGGCTTTAGGTGATCTGATAAATGGTCATAACTTAACTCTATAACCTCCATCACCTCCCCTTCATTCTTAAAGGATTTCAAATTATTTAAAACTTCCAGCCACAAATCCTCTTTCTTTTCCATCTTCGCAATGACTCCACCAATCAGATCAAGTGCCAAAGGAAGACCTTCACACTTTAGGGCTATTTCTTCTCCAACATCCTTTAGTTCATCGGGGCAACTTTCTTCTCCGAATACCTTTTTCTCTAATAACTCCCAACTTTCTTCTTGTCTTAGCAATCGAAGGTTAAGAGGATCACTGTGACATTTTCCATGCAAAGCCACTTTCTTTTCTCGACTTGTTAAAATAATTCTACTTCCTTTCTGAAAGTCCTGAAAAGGCATTGTTAGCTCGTCCCATGCTTTAGTATCCCACAAGTCATCCAAAACAATAAGGTACCTCCTACTGTGCAGCTTTTTTCGAAGCTCATCATAAACATCAAAATCCTCAGTAAATTTCGCATCCAAACCAGTGACTTGATTAAAAATTTTATGCAACACCTTTTGGCTGTCATACTCTTGGTCGACTGTGCACCATGCACGAATATCGAAATGACTAGTAACTGACATATCATTGAATACTCTGTGCGCAAGAGTAGTTTTACCTGCACCAGGCATGCCAATGATCGAAATAACATCTAGCTCTGCTAGTCGATTGATAAGCTGTGAAATTATCAGATTTTTCTCCTCCTCAAAGCCTACAATTATTTGCCCAACTTGCTTTCTTGTTGACTTTCTTTCAACTGGTTTGTTGGGAGAGTTTACAACAATAAGACTCATGTTTTCCTGTATCTCTTTCTTGATAAGCTTGATCTTTTCTACAATATCAGGTAGTAAGAAAATAAGCTGCAAGAGACCATGATCTCTGACAAGAATTGAATTGATGACATATTCTGCCTCATATGCCACATCTAGAACACGAGTCCAAAGATTCCTATTCAATTCTTGCTCAACATTCCCAAAGAACGATCTTATGAACTGTAGGTATTCTTTCACCAACCCAATTTCTTCCTTTATCAAAGCAACTGCATAAGCATTGGAATTGAGCAAACCATCTAAGTTTATGAGTAGAAGATTCATGAAGAGTGATCCGTCACTCTTGGGGAAGCAGAGTTGATATGAGTCTTCAGGGGCTTTTAAGAAAACATGTTTGAGATCTTTCTTCAGGAATTCAATATTTCCTAGCAAATCTAGACCTGCACAACTTGTTTCATTCATGTTCTCTTCATTCCTTGAGTTCTCTTCTGAGTTGCGAACAAGAATTGATACCTCCCTGGTAAGAGCTACAACACGTGACAAGAATACAAACAGTTTGTCGTGATAAATAATGTCTTTGGGCACATCTGTAAGAATAATCAATAGAAACTCTATCATGAAATGAATGTTTTGAGCTGAAGTGCCAAGAGTAATAACATTAACCCTATGCTCTTGTAGATGAATCAGATACTCTCTAAGAATGTCTGGAGAGGCTTCTAAGAGCTGCTTATTGAAGTGTCCAACTTCTGCTGATTTTGAAGCTTTCAAATTTGTACAACATATGTGCATAACCTCCAGTTGAACAGGAACAATCTCCAGAAGCAGATGAGCTAGCTTTACTTGAGGGACGTCAGCTATCATATCAAACTGATAAGCCAAAAAGGCAAAACAGAAGTGTTTTACTCTCTCAGCCATAAGTTGCAACTGAGGTAAGACATATTCAATTGTCTCATACTCAACGTAATTATTTACTTTTAGCCCATGGAAATCTCTTAAATTACCACATACATTCTGAAGAACCTCATATTCAGTCTTTAATGGGCAAATGAACTCAGCAAGCAACTTGGATTGATCATGGAGATACATGGGGAGGACGTCCAAAAGTTCAACCAACTGATCCTCAGTCATAGTGGCACTTGGTTCAGAATTATGATATGAGCTCAGACAACTTTCCAATTTTTTCAGGAGGCAAGGAGCGACATCATCCGTCAACTTATGCAGCATGTCATCTCCACTCTGATGAAAAAGTGACTGAACCAGATCATGAAGCTCAAATAATACGCAAGATATTTCGGCATCAAAACCACCGGGAATGAAATAAAAAAGCTGAAAAAATGACGACATAAACTTCAGCCACATTGTCAGATTTTCAATTTCATCTGTGTCAAGAGCAATTTGATCTCGTCCATTCTTTAGCCTCTCTATGAAATCCAGAAGATTGTCAATGTCCTTTTGGAATACAGCAGATGTCACCTGCCAAAAGACCAAATGTGTATCAAATTTTCAATGCCACATATTCACCATGATAAATTTTACTCTAAATTAACAGGCAACTAACATAAGTGCAGAGGGCCTGCTTCAAAATAGCCTACTGGATAAGCTAAATGTTTGTCTTGTAGTTATAGCTTATATCACAAAGCAAGCATGTTAAAGAAATATGGTTTACTTTATAATCTCTTCATTCCAATTTATATGAACCAATTTGACTGGGCACGGAGTTTAAAAAAGAAGCGAAAGACTTTTAAAATTTATAATCCTAAACAAGACATAATATTTGTGTGGCTATAATTCTTTTGAAACTTGTGGTGTTAAACATGCCAGAGTATTTGTGTGGCTATAAAAATTTTTCATTAAGGGTAGAATTGAACGTTTAAGTTAAATTATTAGCACTAGCGTGGATGGGTAAGGCCATGGCAATTTTGTATACATGTTAAATAAATGAGAACAAGAATATTATTTTTTTTATAAGTAAAGGCTTTTATTAGAATATGCCTACTAATGTAAAGAAGGATGATAAATTTACTCCTAGAGATGTGCCGTACAGTGTCCTCGGCTATTCATCTGTTGGGAAACGTGTCAGGCTAATAGAAGGGAAAAATATTTGAAAGAGAAAAGCAATAAATTGCACAAGACAAGACAAGATTTACGTGGTTTGGCAATTTTGCCTACTCCACGGCCACACAAAGAATAACTCTTTATTAATTGAAGAGAGAAAGAAGAAGTTGAGGGATGATTTGCAAATGAAAATGCATATCACCCCCTTTTATAGGCATTTGAATGCCCTGCCGAGGTAAGCTCTTACATCATAGGAATGTCGATGTAAGCGCATACATCATACGAAAGCCGATGTAAGCCTTACATCATAAGTTCATCTCTTTTTGACTTTTCTTTCTTTTGTTTTGTCTACTTTTCTTTCTTTCATATACAACAACAAATTTGGTATTATCAATCTCCTCCTCAAACCTATGTTACATCAAGAAAGAAATTTAAAAAAAAAGATTTTCTATTCTCTCGTGGCGCCTTCATGCTATCAGTCTTGAAGGCTAACTGAGGTCGTGCACAGCCTCAGTTTGTCAACACCGACAACTTTGATCAACATGTCTGACGGGTTCTTTGATCTTGGTATCTTCTGTAGGGAAATAGTTTCTTCACTTATCAACTCTCGGATATGATAATACCTCAACTGGATATGCTTCGATCTTGCATGAAACACTGGATTCATGGCAAGATGAATTGCACTCTGGCTATCGCTAAAGAGTTCACAATTGTCTTCTTTACCTAGCTCTTTAAGAAAATTCTTGAGCCAAATCATCTCTTTTCCAGCTTCTGAGATTGCCATGTACTCTGCTTCAGTGGTAGATAGAGCAACACTTTTCTGAACTCTAGACATCCAGCTAACAACAGTACCACCCAAGGTGAACACGTAGTTTGTGGTACTTTTTCGTCTATCCAGATCGCCTCCTAAATTTGCATCAGCAAAACCTTGTAAGATAATATTTCTCCTTTTAAAACAAATTGTCATACCTGAGGTGACTTTGAGATATCGCAATATCCATTTTACACCTTCCCAATGCTCTTTTCCTAGATTTGACATGTATCTACTAACAACTCCAACTGCATAGGCTATGTCAGGTCTAGTGCAAATCATAGCATACATCAAACTTCCTACTGCTGAAGCATATGGAACTTTGGACATGTACTTCCTTTCTTCATCTATCTTAGGTAATTGGTCCTTCGACAGATTAAGATGGCTTCCGAGTGGAGTGCTTCTAGTTTTTGCATCATGAAGACTGAACCTGCTTAGTACCTTTTGTATGTACTTTTCTTGAGACAATTTTAAGGTTCCTTTAGACCTGTTTCTGCTAAACCTTATCCCAAGCATTTGCTTAGCTGGTCCTAAGTCTTTCATTTCAAACTCCTCCGCCAGTTGTTGCTTAACCCTATTGATCTCATTTATGCTAGATCATTCAATTAGCATATCATCAACGTATAACAGTAAAATAATATAGGATTTATCAAGATTTTTGATATAACAGTAATGGTCAATCTCACATCGTGTGAAAATATTATTATGTATGAATCCATCAAATTTCTTGTACCATTGTCAGGGTGCTTGTTTCAAACCATACAAACTCTTCTGCAATTTACACACAAGGTTTTCTTTACCAAAAACTTGAAAACCTTCATGTTGCTTCATGTAGATGTCTTCTTCAAGGTCACCATGCAAGAAAGCAGTTTTAACATCTAGCTGCTCCAAATGCAAATTTTCTATAGCTACGATACTTAGCACCAACCTGATAGTAGTTAATTTGATTATAGGAAAGAAGATCTCGGTGTAATCAATCCCTTCCTTCTGTTGAAAGCCTTTTACTACTAATTGTGCTTTGTATCTCATCTTACCATTATGCTCTTCCTTGACCCTGTACACCCACTTATTTTGCAATGCCTTTTTTCCTTTTGGTAACTCTGTAAGTATCCATGTTTTATTCTTTTGAAGAGAAATCATCTCTTTTTTCATGGCTAGATTCCATTTATCAGAGCTTATCACCTGCATTGATTCAACAAAATGCTCTGGTTCTCCAGCATCAGTCAGAAGTAAATAGTGAAGAGAGAGAGTTAACTTATCTGGAGCATTCGTGATTCTTTTAGATCTCCTTCATGTAGGTTTAGGATTAACTGATCCCGAATTTGATTCAAGTCCTGACTCCAGATCTGGTTCTCCATCTGATTCTATCTCTAGTTCTGGTTCTGATTCTAATACAGATTCAGCTTCTGGTTCGGCATCTTCAATTTAAGATCTAGTTGTAGTCTCTCTAGCCACTTTATTTTCTGAGATTTCTTCTAACTCAACTGTTTCATATGTCTGTCTACTGGTGCTGGTTGGTTCTACTTCAAGCTTGTCTTCGTACATCACATTTTCATTAAATGTGACATTCCTGTGTCTTAGGATCTTTCTATTCTGATCATCCAAAAAGCTATAAACAAAATTATCATCACCATAGCCAATAAAGGAACATTTCTTGGCCTTATGATCAAACTTATCTCTATCATTAAAGTTTACATGCATATAAATAACACAACCAAAAAAATTTAGATGTGAGAGAGTTACCTCATTTCATGTCCATACCTCCTCAGGAATTTCAAAATCCAGTGGTACAGAGGGTCCCCTGTTTATGAGGTAAGCTGTCGTGTTAACAACCTCAGTCCAAAAATACTTCGGCAATCCAGAATGTATTCTCATACTTCTGGCTCGTTCATTGAGGGTTCTGTTCATCCTCTCAGCAATGCCATTTTGTTCCGGTATTTCAGGAACTATCTTGATCATTCTGATCCCATTCCGAGAGCAAAATGCTTTAAACTCTTGACTATCATACTCTCCTCCATTGTCATACTTCAGACATTTTAACTTTAGACTTGTCTGATTTTCAACTCCAGCTTTCCATCTTTTAAAGGTAACAAACACATCAGATTTATTTTTCAGAAAATAAACCCATACCTTTCTTGTGGAACCATCAATGAAGGTGACATAATAGCGTGAGCCTCCCAGAGAAGTTACAGGTGCTGGTCCCCACACATCTGTATGCACTAGTTCCAGCTTCTCTTTCTTTGGCGTCCTTCCCACCTTTGAGAAACTAACTCTCTTTTGGTTCCCGTAAATGCAATCTTCGCACAAACCTAATTCAACATGCTTTAGGTTTGACAACTTTTCTTTGGATGCCAACATTCCCTTCTCACTCATATGCTCGAGCCTACGGTTCCACAATGTTGTATCACGACCATGATCAACTATTGCTATAGTATCTCTCTGTATTGCATTTGCATACAGTGCTCCCTTCTTGAAGCCTCGTGCCACAACCAAATTTCTTTTGGTTATCTTTCACGATCCGTTACCGAATGTTGTTGTATATCCTTCACTGTCAATTTGACCCATAGATATCAATATTTTCTTGAGGCTAGGAACATGACGGACATTTTGCAATTTCCATAGCGTGCCTTGTGAAGATTCGACTGGACTGTCTGCACAATGTCCAGAGGCTCGCCGTTTCCTAGATAAACTTTCTCAAATTTTCTAGCAATATAATTATGCAATAATGTTTTGCATGATATAGAGTAAAATGATGCACCTGAGTCGAGAATCCAAGATTCGATCGGACTGTCTGCACTACAAATTAGTGCATCACCGACTTATTCAGCAATTGCATTTGCTGAATTATCATCCTTGTATTGATCGTTCTTCTTCTTCTTCTTTGGATCTCTACATTGACTACTGTAGTGACCTTTTTATCGCAATTCCAACACGTAATGTCTTTGCGATTTTTGGATTCTTTGATCTGCCACGACCATGACTTTGTCCTTTTTGGCTGCTTCTCCCCCTGCTTTCGATATTAAAAGCAGATCTTGGGGAATCACTTGATTTTCTTCGATGAATATCTTCACTTAGAACCAAGTCTCTAATATTATCCAATTTGAGTTTGGTACTTCCCGATGAACTGCTAACTGCAGTTACTGTTGCAGACCAACTCTCAGGTAGAGATGATAGTAGAATCAATGCCCTTACTTCGTCATCGAATGTTATATTAAAAGAACTCAACTGAGTTAATATTACATTAAACCCATTGATATGTTCCGTAACAGATCCACCTTCTGTCATCTTTAAGTTGAACAATCGACGCATCAAATAGACTTTATTTGAAGCAGATGGCTTCTTGTACATATTTGATAACGCCTTCATCAGGCCCGCAATGGTCTTCTCGTTAATGATGTTAAACGCCATATTTCGTATTAGCGTCAAATGAATCACACTAAGAGCTTGGCGATCTAATAGATCTCAATCTGCTTTGGTCGTAGTCTCTGGTTTTACCTCGGTCAGAGGTAAGTTTAATTTTTTCTGATACAAATAATCCTCTATTTGCATTTTTCAGAATCCAAAATCTTTTCCATTGAACTTGTCAATCTTAACCTTCCCTTCTTTCGATGCCATTTTTCACAACAAAAAAAAAATTATGTGAATAGTGCTTGTGAATAGTAAGGATGATCAATAGTGTCGCACTATTCTTGTGAATAGTATTTGCATCAGTACCGTACTTTTCTACCAGAATTATACTGTCTGTGCTCTGATACCAGTTTTTGGGAAATGTGTCAGGCTAATAGAAGGAAAAAATATTTGAAAGAGAAAAGCAATAAATTGCACAAGACAAGACAAAATATACGTGGTTCGGCAATTTTGCCTACTCCACGGCCACACAAAAAATAACTCTTTATTAATTGAAGAGAGAAAGAAGAAGTTGAGGGATGATTTGCAAATGAAAATGCATACCACCCCCTTTTATAGGCATTTGAATGCCCTGCCGAGGTAAGCGCTTACATCATAGGAATGTCGATATAAGCGCATACATCATACGAAAGTCAATGTAAGCGCGCTTACATTATAAGTTCATCTCTTTTTGACTTTTCTTTCTTTTGTTTTGTCTACTTTTCTTTCTTTCACATACAACAACAGGTTTGCTACTAGCATCATCAACACATAAGGCATATAGTATATGGCATTCACTCCTAGAGTTGTACTTAGCTATATAAATAAGCTTATTTCCATGAAGATGTATGTTTAAGAATGTGTTATGAACTTATTTCCTAATGCTTTTGAAAAGATTCATATTGGGACAAAATCGGTTTTAGTGCTTGAGCTACTTTAATCCCAATCAATAAGCCAAACTGGCTCTAAATTACCAGCGTTTTAGGCAAGTAATACTGCTTTTGAGAGTCTTATTATCATAAAAAATATTTTCGAAAGAGTACTGATTTCATCTTACAATAATTTTTAAAATCATTGTTAGATGGTGGTATGCTTATTTGTTACTACTTACGTCATCATGATGTTAATATTCTAAAATATGTTATTCCAGATATCAACCGAATAACTATTTTACGCCTTAGAAAGTAAACATTCTACAAAGAAAATGCCATGATCAGATTATGAACTTTTGAACAACAATTTCCAAAAGATATGAATAACATTATACTGTCTTAAGGATTACTTGGATAATCATGTAAGTTAGTTTTAATACGTATAAATATTGTATGGCATACCGATGAGTTGTTTGCTTCCCCTTTCTCTCTTTCTCCTTCATTTTCTTTTCCTTTTTCCATGTATGTAATTCTCACTAGTCAAACCAAAAGTAACTTTTCCTTCCCTTCCTCTAATGTTCTCAAGATCTGATGTCTGAATAGTACATAAACCTTTATTAGGAGGAAGAAGTAGAAGAAAGAACACAAGAATCTGAAGGAAGAAGCATAAAGCATATATCAGATGACATTTTACTGCACATATAGCCAGACACCTCAAACAAAAAAAAAAGGTGCATTGACCATAGCTTTTCCAACCCAATTACCAAAATAATATGGAGATATCTACTGAACAAAGCGGATATATGGGCTACAAAAACAATGGAAGTACTGTACTTCAGCTTGAGCCTATGGCAGCAAACAGATCCATAAAATCCTAATCAAAACATTAAACAGATCAAAGCATTGTTGAGGTTTTTTTGTTTTTAAGATGAAATAGTCTGAGGGTGAATGGGAAATTGAGGGAAAATGAAATTTTTGAGTAAAATTTTAAGTTTCCCCCTCTTGACAATGAGACATTGTCCCATATTGGAAGAGAAAAAGANTTTTTTCATGCATACTTCCGTGATATAGCCATTCCCCATTCATGTGGGGGATTGTTGAGATTTTTTGTTTTTAAGATGAAATAGTCTTAAAACGAGGGTGAATGGGAAATGGAGGGAAAATAAAATTTTTGAGTAAAATTTTAAGTTACCCCCTCTTGACAATGAGACATTGTCCCATATTGGAAGAGGAAAAGATTTTTTGTGGGTATATATATAATTGCTCTTCTTGTAGCTCTTAAAGAGTTAAGAAGAAAGTAAGCCTCGCGCCGTCGTCGTCGTCGTCGCTCGGCTTCGGCTTCGGTCAAATGATTGATTAATTGATTAATTTTTTGGACCAAATTTATTTGTTAATAGTAAATAGTAAATATTAACGTAAGATTATCCGCATTTGTAACGGATATTTTCCAATACGTGTATTGACCACCAGCTGCAATAGCAGCCGCCTAATAATCTTTCCACCATGAATGTGCTTGCTCCACAAATAAGTACTTGCTCCACAAACAAGCTAATGCTTGCTCCACCATGGAGGGTGGACGATTGTTCTTCTTCAACACTGGCTGCTATATATATGTGCAGCAGCTGTTGAAGAAAGACACGAACGAAAAACGAAAACACCACCAAAACTGAAAACGCTCAACTTTGGCTATACATTGCACTCCTTCCTCTCAGCATTTCCATACGATTTTCTGAGTTTCTACTCCTTCGTTCTGCATTGTTTTAACTTCAAACAAAGCAACTGTAAGTGTGATTTGCTACCGAACTTTGTGTTCGCTGAAACACTGGGGTTTGAAGTACCACTATACCAGTGTGTGATTCGTTCTATCCTGGGAGGAAATAATCCATAACCTTGGGTACTAGGAGGGGATTAAATTCCTTAAGGAAACACTGTCAATTCAGTGGGCTCGAATTAATTACTGTTTCATTACGATAACTTATATTTTATAAAATTATTATTTACAAATACAACAATATTGGCGGGACTAACAAGCATAACCTAAAGAAAGGAGGCAAATAAGAAAACAAACCTGAGCAGCTTTGTAGAATGTAGGCAGTGAGAGCTCTCAGCAACCTCTTAATTATGTTCAGCACCAGTCTTGAACTCAGCCATATCTCCTTTGAATTTTTTCGCGTTCAAAACACTAATTAGAATCACCAGAGGGAATTCAGAAAGTAAGCACTGGGATTCAGAAAGAAAGCTATGTGAAAGAATTTGAAGTGATTGGCTAAAGACAACTTGGAAGGACACCAAACCAATAGAAAGAAGAATCAAACAATTCCAAGATTTAAATACAATTCATTGACTTCTGAAGTCTTTTTTAATACCCATCATCATTTTAGTCTTTGTAATTAATTGTGAAAATTATATACATGTCCCTTGTTTTGAGTTCTGTCTATAATATTATATATACTCCACTTGTCTTGAGATTTGTTTAAACATTTAACACCAAATCACCAGCAAAACATATTAACTATTTCAATAGTTATATAGATGTCAATCAATTGAATCAAAATTAACTTGAACAAGACTTATAGTTAGTTAGTACATACATGAACAGAAAACTTATGTTTCTTTTTTCAACTCATGATGAGATATATACATTACACGTAGAATGAAATATTTTTACCTTTTTCGATTTATAAATCAAATCAAACCAACGTAAAGACAATCTTTTCAATTTTTTTAATTTTATTTTTCCAATCACGGCATGTTTTACGTGAAGTTCCTAAACTATATTGAGACATAAGTGAAGAATGGAGAACAAAGTACGCGCTGGAATTCAGAAATATATGTGAGAGAAGTTGAAGTAATTGGCTAAAGACAACTTGAAACAACAACAAAAAGTTCCATGATTAACATGCAATTCATTGACTTCTGAATTGAAGTCTTTTTATTACTGATAGTTATCTTAGTCTTTGTAATCAATTCGGAATATTATATACATGTTCCTTGATTTGAGATCTGGCCTATAATATTATATATATACTCCACTTTACTTGAGATTATGTTATTTGTGGCTTGAATTATATTTTTTGTATTTTTATAGAACTCATAATCCCTATAGGTTTGGGAAACCCCATTGTTCTAATAGATTTGGGAAAGGAAAATATATTGTCCTGTGAGGATTGGTCTTCGCGATCGCAGTGTATCAACGCGGTCGCATAGAATCGCGAAGGAGAACTGGCAGCTGATGGATCCTTAATCGCGTTTTGGCGTATGTCATATCTCGTTCGCGGAGCTTTGGTATGTTTGGGAATCGCGTTCGCATGGTCCTTATCGCGAACGCGTAAGGCATTTTTTTGGGCAGTAGAGTTTGTCCTTCGCGATCGCGAAAAGGAAGTCCCGCGATCGCGATGGGTATGTCAGTTCAGTGAATTATAAGTACTCTATTTTTGAAGGTTTATGACATTTTAGCATATTTTGAGTTGAGTACCTCGGATTGAGGCGATGTTTGAGACAATTTTTACCATATGGATTGGGGTAAGCATTCTTGACTTGGCTTTGATTATATTTTATGAATCTATCTTCGTTTTTGGCATTTGATTAATGATTTCAAAAGAGAAATTATGGGGTTTTGTCTAAACTTTTCTAAAGAAAATTTTTGAGGTTTGAACATCGATTCGGAGTCGGATTTGAATGAAGTTAGTATGGTTGGACTCATAATTGAGTGAGTTTGTCGGAAATTATAAGTTTTGTCGGGTTTTGAGGTGCGGGCTCGGTTTGACCTTTTGGTTAACTTCGAGTTATTGATTAAAGATGCGACCTTTATCATTTGGGATTGTTTCCTTGGGCATTATTTGATGTTTTTGAGTTGCTTTTGGCTAGTTTCAAGCCTCTCGGAGGTTGATACGCGCAGGGTGGCATTTCTAGAGTATTGTTTGGCTTGCTCGGTATTGTTTTAGCTTGTTTAAAGTAAGTATCTTCTCTAAACCTTGTTGAGGCACTAGTTGCCTGAATTATTTGTGATAGCTACGTGCTATGAGTGTGGACATGTGTGGGGTTTCAACCCATGTGCTAACACTAGGAGTATTTATCGATGCTCGGGTTGTGCTTAGGCTATGATAAGCCTAGAATTTACAGTTAAGCTTTAAGCTATGATGTTTCTCATATTTGTAACATTGTGTAAACTATTTAAGTTATGTTTGAGGCTACATAGAGGTTTAATCCCTGAATGAACTTGATAAATGCTATTCTGTGATGAAATTGCTGATTTGAGCTATGATAGCACACTTTGCACATGCTACACTTTAGCATGTTATTATACTAGTCCACAAGCATGAAAACTAATAATTATTCATCATATATATATATATATATATATAT